AATAAAAAAATTATTAAAAAAAAAAAAAACTAGGTGTGGTGTTGCCTGCCCTATGGCAAAAAAAGAAACAACTCAGTCTTTTTCCGCTAGTCTCTTTTTTTTTAATCAAGGGATATTTTATGTAGGGTAGGCTTCCCTCATTCATTTATTTCACTAATTGAAATAAATGAATGAATGAATGAATAAAGTTAAATATATATATATTTTTAAAAGAGTGGTTTATATATTTGCCATAGGGCACATGCACTTGCCAGAAAGAGGAGAGAGGGAAAGTGAGAAATCACTCCCCAGGTGGCATGGCCACACTGCAGTCCCTACTCCTCCATTCTCCTCTCAGGATTTTGGGCATGCATGCACACACACCCAGTATGTTTTTCAAGCCACCAGGTTTGGGACTCAAACCAGTCAGCCATGTGGGATCTAGCCACCTTAACCACCATGCCTCCTGGCCAGCCAAATCTTTTTTTTTTTTTTTTTTTTTTTGCTATAGTTTTCGAGTGCTTGCAGGAAAGAGAGAAAAAAGGGAGAGGGAATGAGAAAGCAACCTGGGGGAGGGGGATGACCAAACTGCAGTCCCTTCTCCACTCTCCTCGGATTTGGGGGCATGCATGCACATGTGCCCTACATGTTTATCAAGCCACCAGGTCCAGGACTCGAAATACACAATTAGCACCATGAGATCCAGCTGCTTTAACAACCACTCTACCTGACTGGCTATTTATTTTTTTATTTTTAACTTTTTTGTCATTGTGTTGCTATCTCTGGAATGACTGAGTACTTTAAGGAAGCGTAAATTTCCCTTATGGTAGATGTGTTTGTTCTTCCCTGGGTCAGAGCATGGTATGAGAGCGTTTCTGGACAAGATGGGAGCGTGACCTTTTCAAACTCTTGCGGTGAGACCAGCAGTTGGCGTAATGGCTATGTCACTGGACTCCCATGTAGTCAACCGTGGTTCGAATCCCAGACCCAGTGGCTTAAACTCACGCTGGGCGCGTGTGCTTGCGTGTGTGCCCAAGATCCTGAGAGGAGAATGTAGGGGAAGGGATTGTGGTGTGACCATTTCCCCTGGTGGGTGATTTCTCACTTTCTGTCTGTCTGTCTGTCTGGCGAGTGCACACACCCCATAGCAAAAAAAAAAAAATCTAAAAAAAACCCAAAAAACAAACAAACTTTTTAGGTGATAGAACCAAAAGGTTTGCTGTCCATGAAACAGACATGAATATCCTAAATGCACTCATTGAGAGTTTTCTTTCTCTCTAGGTGAATTCACTCATGAGATGCAAGTCAGGATACGACAGGAAATGGAGAAGGAAAAGAAGGTGGAACAGTGGAAAGAAAAGTTCTTTGAAGACTACTATGGACAGAAGTAAGGCACTTGCTGCCCTTTGTCCTGGTCTGGGCTTTTGAGGGGGTGGAGGCAGATGGTCTCAAAATAGCAAATCCTCTGTGTTAGACAAGAAGGTGGAAACTGCAGCGACTCCGGTCATTTAGCTGAATGCCATGCATAGAGAGGCTAACATGTTTTTCTGCGGTTAATGCTATGTACCACACGGTTTCATTAATTCTACATATCTGGGCGCATATTATTCATGGAAATAGACGAGACGTGCTCTCTCTGGCCTGTAACTGATAGTTTGAATTTGGTTTGCAGGTTGGGTTTGACCAAAGAAGAGTCATTGCAACAGAACATGGGTCAGGAGGAGGCCGAGATTAAGAGCGGCTTGCATGTCCCAGGAGAATCAGCCCGGCCACAGCGAGGTCCTGCCACCCGACAGCGAGATGGGCATTTTAAGAAACGCTCTCGGCCAGATCTCCGAACCAGAGCCAGAAGAAATCTGTACAAAAAACAGGAGCCAGAACAAGCAGGGTGTGCTAAAGATACAAAGCCTGCGGCACCAGATATCTCCTTCTACAAAGATGGGGAGGCTAAGAATGACTCAGTAGCGGGGAGCAGTTCCCACCTGCCACGGCTGTCCTCTGGGCCACCTGACCCAGAGGGTCCCGAAGTCCCAGTCAAACCCGTGGCTTCCCAGATCCAGACTGAGCCAGACAACTTGGCACGCGCCTCTGCGTCCCCAGACAGAATTCCCAACTTGCCTCAGGAAACTGTGGATCAGGAGTCCAAGGATCAGAAGAGGAAATCCTTTGAGCAGTCAGCCTCTGCCTCCTTTCCCGAAAAGAAGCCCCGGCTTGAAGATCGTCAGTCCTTTCGTAACACAATTGAAAGTGTTCACTCCGAAAAGCCACAGCCCACTAAAGAGGAGCCCAAAGTCCCGCCCATCCGGGTAGGAGACCACTTGCTTCCTAGCTGCCCTGGGGCCAGGTTTCCACTGCAGGTCATGAGATTATAGAACCCCTGTGTAGGCACAGAAGGCCTTGGGGCCCTTGTTCTCATTATGTGGCATTGTAGAACTTTCTAGGTTGTTCTTGAGATTTACTTGAAGTTTAGGGGGATGAAGTTCTTTTCCTCCTTACTTTTCTGTTCACTCTGTTAAGGTTATCTATAGAGATCAGAATCCTTTGGGGTTTTCTTCTTTTATTAGGTGATGTTCGAGTTTTTGCTGTAGTGACTCATCTGGTGCCACCAGAAGTTAAATTTAAAAGTGTGGCATGTACCCAGCCCTTGAGCAGAATTCTCTCAGAACGGTGGTGTCGTAGCCGCCTTGCGATGATTTCATCTTACAGGAAAATTGATTCTCCAGGCCATGATCCCTAAGCTGCTAGGGTCCTAGTTTTGCTTTACAGTTTCTAGGTCAGCTCACCCAGTCAATTAAAACTGTTTTCCACTTCTTTTCTTGCAGATTCAACTTTCACGTATCAAACCACCCTGGGTGGTTAAAGGTCAGCCCACTTACCAGATATGCCCCCGGATCGTCCCCATCACGGAGTCCTCCTGCCGGGGATGGACTGGTGCCAGGACCCTCGCAGACATTAAAGCCCGTGCTTTGCAGGTCCGAGGGGCGAGAGGCCACCACTGCCATCGAGAGGCGGCCACCCCTGCCCTCGGAGGGGGGGGG